TATCATTTCTGACTTTCTAGTCTACCTGAATTTAGTACATTCACCAGTTTCCCACCAAAGCAATAATTTTATCATGGTTTATCCATTTAGATAATCTAGAATAATCACCCTGTTTAAATGTCAACTGATTAGCAACCTTAATTACATCAGGATCCTTAATTATCCTTTGCTACGTAATGTAACATATGCAGTTTCTGGGGATTTGATGTGGAAAATTTTGGAGGATGATCTATCTGTCACCTAAGACGAAATAACTCAGAAGAGACTGTTGGAACCAAAAAGCAAAGAGATAAATTAATTGGCAAATTTAATTTCTTCCCTTTATCCCTAATTACCCAATGTGATAGAGCACACAGTGAAAATTAGATCTCTTTTAGAAAATGAGGAAACCATGTTTCCTTTGCACATCTGTGGTGTAGTGTGAACAATTTATTTGTACCACACTACATGCAGATTGTGAGATATAATCTGACAACTTTCTTATTAATCATTAATAACTATGGCTTAATATAATTCTGAACTTATTTTATGGTTTTGGTGTGAGTTAAGCATGTCTTTCTTTTTTTCTTTCTCTCTCTTTTCTCTCTCTCTTTTCCATCTCTCTCTCCTTTTTTCCTTCTCTCTTTCCTTCCTTTCCTTTCCTTCCTTCCTTCCTTCCTTCCTTCCTTCCTTCCTTCCTTCCTTCCCTCTTTCTTTCTTTCTTTCTTTCTTTCTTTCTTTCTTTCTTTCTTTCTTTCTTTCTTTCTTTCTTTTCGTTTCTTTTCGTTTCTTTTCGTTTCTTTTCGTTTCTTTCAAGTCTTACTCTCTTGCCCAGGCTGGAGTATAGTGGTGTGATATTGGCTTACTGCAACCTCTATCTCCTGGGTTTAAGAGGTTCTTGTGCCTTATCCTCCCTAGTAGCTGGGATTACAGGTGTGTCCCACCATGCCTGGCTAATTTTTGGATTTTTAGCAGAAATGGGGTTTCACCATGTTGGCCAGGCTAGTCTCGACTCCTGCCTTCAGGTGACCCATCCGCCATGGCCTCTCAAGGGGTTGGGATAACATGTGAGCTACCATTACTGGCAACAGAGAGCATTTCTTTCTAATTCATCTGGATATTAAAAACAATTTTTACTTGCATGAAAATAATTACTCAGAGATAATGAGATAGTCCTAGATACTTGGTGGCAACTTCTCAGATGAAAGGTTTTCATTTTTCTTTCTAAAGTTATCTACTGTTTGTTGTATACAGGAAAAGAAATCATAGTAAGTACAGACCATCAGATTCAGGTAAACAGTTGCTGAAATCTGTGGCTTTTTTTTTTTCTAATAAAAGATTTCTTGTTAGCTGGTTAATCTGGGTGAAGATTTTCTTTTCCTTTGGGTATTTAGATATCATGATTTATTATGCTATCTTTATGAAATAATTGTGTCTTTGATAAATAATCCCATTAAAGCAGTTTGAGAACTTTGCAAGAGAAGCTGATTTTAAAAATTGAGGTGTCATGTTTTCCCACAGGTATACACTGCTCACTTTTTGGAGGTCAATATAAACAAGATCAACCATAACTATGCACTGACAAGTGTTTTTTGGAAACAGAATGTAGACTAATTGGACCATCAATGGCAGCTTTAAATTCTTATGTCTTTCACATCCTATAAAGATAATCATTATTTAGGAGTTCAAGGGTTGTGGAGTTGAAATCCAAAGCATAAATACTGAGTTTTAAAGCTATAAGTTTGTGGGCAAAAAACAGTCAGCTATTTAGGGTGATTCTGATAATGAACTGCATCTTGTTCTGTCATCTGAATGCTTGTCATTTTATAGACAGGGACATAAACACTGGTTTCTTCATGTTGATGAGCATTTTCTATACTTATTAAAGTTAAGTTTTATTTTTCTAAGAATAAGTGAGTTAGGAGGCAGACAAGTTGCTTTTTATTATTTTTTGTGTCTCTTTCCAAGTTCGCTCTTCTCATAGAATGCATTGTATTATTCATAAAGTTAATGCGATTGGCTGCTATTTCACGTTCTTACAGCCAATTTGTGCAGACTTGACTCTTTTGGTATGATCATCATGATTGTAAGTCTCAGGTTGGGCTTTTGATCTTTGTAAAGAAGTTTGCTTTTCTTCATCTTGGGAACACAGATGACGTTCATATTCTCCATACAGTTATCTTATAAATGCATGCCTTTGATCTCATGGGAGGAGATCATAAATTCCTTATCTATAGTAAAAATCAACCAATTAAAAATATCCTGACAGCAGCAGATCAGAACTGTATTTCAATAAAGAATAGCAGCATGATAGGGTGGAAATACGGTAACTAGTTACTAATTTTCTTTGAATGTCTTATATAAAATTAATGCTTTAAATTTCTATAATATACTTTGTGTTTAACTTCTCTAGTAAAGTGATTCCAAATAAAATGTTATTGTAAAATTATTTCAAATTTGAGTAGTATGTTAAAATCTCATCATTGCAATTTGTGTTTGGGCTCTGAGAGGGATAGTAAAAGCTGGATAGTAGGATACCATAAAAAATGCATTTTTTTCAAGTATGACTAACAACTTAATGGCAGAGTGTTTCTAAGTAGGAAGCCTAGCTCATCTGGTTTAATGAATTGTAGTACTTAAGAAAGGCTTCCTGTATTTTTAGTATTTGTTTACAAATACTATTTTGTTATGCGAGTCAGATATGAATCGTCCACTACTCTTGTTCATGAAATAAAGATATTTACTAAAATCCTTTGAATAACAGTAAAGTTTCCAAACACATTCTATGTGTTAGTGGGATCTAAATCTATGTGCTATTATAAGAGTTTGAACTCCGTGTTGATTTTTACTTAGCCAAATGGACAACTTACAATTAAGTATGACTTCTTTGATTTTCATAAACTTCTTTTTATTCAATGTCCAGTCAAATAATTGAGATGACTGTGTAGAAGAGTTGCACATTTTTACAACAAAAAAGAACAGCCACAATTTTATATATATATGCATGTACACATATGACACCTATGTATATGTATGTGCACATATGTGTATATACGTGTGTGAAAGCGAAGGGGAGAGAGGGATGAGGTCTACATAATTTGATTGCTGGTAAATTTTTACAATTAATTCAAATATTTAGACAAATTTGCCTTTAATAGGAAAATCATCAAAAAGGGGAGGCCAGTGGTTGCATAAGCTTTGCTTTTTTTCTGAAATTACCTGCATTCACTTAGAGAAAAAGCATTTTATGTTATATATCAAGTAACTAATTTATATAATTGATTTCAGGTATTTTGATTTCAATGTGTGTAGCAGTTCAGGAATAAAAATGTGGTGTTTTCTTATATTATCTGTGTTTTTTATGATTGAGTTTTATGTTCTTTTGGTTTAGTTAGAAATTTGCCTTCTCCATCCCTCCTATTAAAACTTGGTTTTGGAAAGTATAGTTCCAAGAGCTGTGCTTTTCTTTTAAAATGTTTATAAAATTCAAAAGCAACTTGAAAATATTTTATGATATAAATTTTACATGTATTCAAAAACGGGATCATAAAATATAAATTTATTTAAAAACTATTGAGATTCTTTCTCTTTGGAATGAATATATGTTTATACATGCAGCTATGGGTATAAATGGGTTACTGTACCTCTTAATATACCTACTTTAATGATGAATTCCATTCCTGATTATAGAATCATGAGCTAGAAATCAAAGTACACCAATAAATGCAGGTAAAGACTGGTAAAATTCCACCTCAGAAAATAATCAAAGCTTAAAGCTTAGCATTCTGATTTGGAGCAAGAAATATGTAAATTATGAAATAATGAGCAGCTTCTGAGCATACCCCCTTTATTTTACCTGCAAAGACCTGACTCAGAAATCGGCATTTCAAAATGCTTATTTTTTTTTTTACAATGTAAATGAATGGCCATGAATAATACAAATTGGCTTTACTTTCCAAGTTTATTATACTTAAACATTTTTGGCAGGTTATCCACATCATTTATTATATAATGAGGTAACCCCCAAGTGAAACCCCCAAATATCTTCTCTTCCTGATCATCATAGGCTGCCATTCTTCCCCTGGAAATTAATACATCTGTATGCAGGATTGTGCCTTTTCATCCCCTGCTGCAGAATCAGCGGTCATAACAGCTTTTGTGTTCATGAATATGTAAATGCAACATGCATAAAATAAAATAAAAAAGCAGACAGTTTCTACCACAGACTGTGCCTAACTCTGTTTAACTAATACACAAAAGCTAAGTTTTAATTTTTCAAGCATCTTGAGTCAGTATTTCAAGGCATGACATAATTATGTAATATGAAAATACATAAATTAGGCATATGCAGATGTGCATGACAGTTAGATTCTGATTAAATCGGCATGTAGTCATAGCTATAGTGATTCGTGCAGATTCACTTATTCCTTCACTCTGATGCCTAGTAACACGGGGAAAATGCCTTAGGTCTTTAATAACCTTGTATTTACTGACTAGATTCTACTCCCATAGTTCACCCCAATAAATGACTAGGATAATGTTTAAATAATATATGGTACATGTATATGCATGTGTGTATATTATATATATATATATATTATACACACACACACACACACACGCTTTTTTCTTCTGAAAGAGAAAAGCAATGGCTATATTACACTGAAGTATTCTGGAGGAAGCTGTGGGAAGAGAATTGGTGGATTTTATTATTGAAATAAGCAAGCATGTTCATGAATATTTTTACGGCATGCATGCCTATGCGCCACTCTGTGCAAACAGTGCTATTGCAGCTTGTGCGCCGTAATTAGGTTGATGTAATTATGGTGAAATAAAGGAAGTCGCACTGATAATTTCACAGTGAATATTAAAGACATATGTGCCTTCCAGTGTACAATAAATGAACCTGAACTGCTGTCAGGGTCTAGGAGGACAGTGTGGCCAATGCACCTATTGTGTCCCTGCTGCAGAAAGGAGCCTGCCGATTGGCCACTGTCTGCAGCACATAGCACTGGCTGGTTATAAAGGACTTGTCTAGGGGAGAGCCTGTAGGTACTCCATTGTCTGGTAAAGTTCATATGACTGCATTCTTTTTTGCAAGGGGGGTGGAGGGAGAGTGGCGAAGGAGGGGGTGTCAGCTCAACTGTAAAAGCTGCACAGATTTTTTTCTTTCTCTCTCTCTGCCTCTCCATAGATCGTTTCTGTTTCATGCCCTGTCTCATTTCGCATAGCTAAAAAAGAATGCTAATTAAGATCCCTTGTCTTAACCTGAAAAATAATGACTCGGCTGTAATTAGAAATCTGGTGAGAGTTTAAAATTCTGGTAGGGGACCAAAAACATCAGTTACGGTGCTTAGGAAGAAAATGAAGAATTATTTTTCTGTAATCAAGGTAAACATGGGAGAGGGGGGTTCCCCCCATCTTTTAAACTAATTTTAACCAATGGTGTTCTACTGCAGATGAGAAGATACTGTATTTCAAAAACTATTTTAACCATCAAATTGAAGGAACACAAATCAGTAGCATTAGAAGCCTTCTTAATCCTCCTTAGGATGCAATTCAGATGAAAGAACTGCTTTTTTTTTTTTTTTTTTTTTCCTATTTTCCTTTTTGTATGTGTGTGTTATAGATGGATCTGAGAACGCTGTCTGGGCTTGGTGCCAAGGGCTGGTATTTCACAGCAGCGAACGCCTCACAGACGAGCTGTGGGAAGCAGGAGGGAGACTCTCTCTTAGGGTGCCACTACTATGGAGACACAGCTGGGCTGAACAAGATTTGCTTCAAACAACAAGAAGAGAGACAGAAAGTATCTGGTTCAACCGCTGCCTGAGCAGGCAGGCACCAGAAGAGCTAGCAGCCAATCCGGCCATGCTCGAAGCCAGCTCTGCAGCTCAGCCAATCAGTGACATCACTGGTGAGAAACTCATTTACATCATGCAGTAATGAACTTTGTTTAACATAGCCTTCCCCCTTTCCTGTCACCCCTCCCTTTCCATATTAGGCCCTTCCATTAATTATTCTGCTGGCATAATTTAAACCGCTATGCAAAAATGTGGCTACATTCTCTCCGATAGCGTTTACCTTTTTTTTTTTCCACCATTGGTGTCTGCTGTCACTGAAAGTAATTCTGGGTACAATTCTATTTTGTTTTGAACTTGTAAAATTATATTCTCTTTCTTAAAAAAATTCTTAACAACATGAAACCTCTGTTTATTTTGTCTGATCCCTCTTCTTATGAGTGAATACATGCTTCTGCAAGTTGGGATTGAGAATTGTACAAGGTAGTAGAGAATAAAGGGTGCATTGCCATGGAAGTTGCAGGTTTTTCAAGCAATCTGTATCTTAGAACTTCCTTTAATGTTTTCAGATTTTATGCTGCAGTGGCCATTTTACATACAGTGCTTTATCCAAAAAGCACTTATGTGCATCTGTCACATGGAGGAAAGTTCACTCTTGTTATATTTCATTCTCCACTGCTTTCAGCCAACATTGTCATTTTATTAATGAATAGAACTGAGGTCATTTCTGGACAAATCTCCCCCTTCCCATCTCAGCACAATGCACCTGATTTGCATCCATTTACTAGAAAAACTGAATACAAGAACCAGCTTGAAAAGAAGTTAAGGGACCAGCTTATGTATTATTTCAGAATATATTTCAGTAATACAGCTTGTTTTTTAAAATGCGCAATATTTAACATCTGCCTTAGTGTTTCTATAAAATCGCCTGGTCTCCATTCGCAACGTAATGCCTTGAGCAAATTTATGGGATCGTTACATAACCAAAGTAGATCAAATGAAATAATGTTCACAAATGAGTTCATTTATCTGCAGAAAACCTTTGGAAATACAATTTTGCCTTGTGCATTTGTATTTAGTTGTCAGGGATAAAGTCATTTGTTCTATAGATAACTTAAAAGAGGCTGGAACATGTGGCATGTGAAGATTTCATGTTGCTTTATAAAATCCCAGAGAGCAAAACTGGGTCACACTTCAATGTAATTTCTATGAAGTCATATCTTTATTGCATATTCACGTTAAAGGCACACAGTTTTCTAACTGAGAAGGTGAAGTTTCATTGTCTTTCTTTTAAAAGGATGTTTTGCATGTAATTATTCAAAAACATGGAACTTAAAAAATATTGACAAGGGTTTCATAATAGTGCGTGATTCATTTAAGAAGCTTATAGAGTGCAATGATAGGCATAGTCACTTTTTAAAGCATATGAAGGATTTAGATGAGAAACCATGGCCTTTTTAATTCATGAGGCATTCCATCATCCCATCATCAGTATTCAGGAGGCGACTGTCCTGAATCAGTCACGAGCTCCCCTGCTGCAGATCCTGTAATTTGAATCATGTGTAATAATATATTATCCTACTGGGTGCCTTCTTTCAGTAGGAGAATGGTTTATACATTCTGCTATAAGAGAACTTTTGGCTTCTAGCCGACTCACAGCCATTACTCACATAGGCAATCATGATCATCTTCCTTAAGGAATAACATCTGTACAACCTCCAGAGCCAAAAATCTGCAACCTCCTGCACAATGTGAATTATGATTTCTTGGAGTTAGGAACACTTGACGAACTGAAGTAGAAAAATGGAAGGTTTAAAGGAATGGATCAACATTTTATTGAGTGTACCATGTGGCGACAGCGCAAACTCCCATTCCGTTGAAATGACGGAGAGTGGTGAGGAAAGGGGGCCAAAAATATACCTACATGTGTTCATTAGATTTTTGGACACAACCGAAATGGAATGTGTTTTGGGAAGACATAGCTGCCTCTGTGTTTTTCTGTGGGCATCCTAGCAAGATCCTGTAAAGGGTGTAGCAGCGTGGAGAAATAAATGGGCGGGGTGGGGGCAAAGGTGGTTGTGAAAGCAGACATAAATTTTCTCACCTTGCAGGAACCATTTTGACCCCAGAGTTGAAAATTATAGTGTACCTTTGATTCTTTCTCTTTTTATCACCTTTATCAGATTGCTTAATTTCTTTCCATTTTCTCCTACATTCAAAAATTAAAGACAATGCCAGCGGAGAGGTTTTTGCTTTGTGTAAAACGCCTTCCCATTTTTAAGAGTCGAGATCCTTTTTTGCTTCAAGGACCAGGTTAAATGTTTCCTCTTCTGTGAAATCTTTCCAAATCACCATGACCAGAATCTCTTACTTCTTCACCCCTTTTCACCTGCTTTATTGTCTGTGTGGCAGTCAGTATTGCTGTAGGGCCACATATGTGCTGTAGGGCCACATATGTGCCTCTACACTGAAAGCCCCTTGGGGACAGAGACCACATTGAATTCTTCTTCCTCCCCCAGCTTTAAGAATAATTAATGATGCTCCTAAGGTTTAAATCCATGTTTTAATTAATGAATTAAAAGTACATTATGAATTGCAGAGGGAGGGTCATACAATTTTCAGGGATTACGATTATTGTTGTCAACTATTACCACTATGTACCAGTTGATGTCAGCTTTACCTCATCAGTGTTAAGCCTTTTATTTCACTGACCCTTCATAATAAAGCTCAGATTAAATGGTCCCTGTGTTATTTTTCTTAAATAGCCAGTCAAAAGGAAATGGAAATCATTTTGTTTATTAAATATGAAATTCAGCCAACTTAGTTTGGTGTTTAAAAATTTAAAAATAGGTGAAATTTATGTAGATTCAAGCAACCATGATAAGCAAATTACAGTATCCAGCTGTACTCTTAGTGATATGAAAAATTACTTGGAAAAGGTAAGCGATTAATGTGGAATGTTGAAATGCTCTAAAAAGCATAATAAATCAGGAAATATAGAATCTTGTGTCAGTGGTATAACAGATGCATGTATTTTTATCTGTAAACTAGTACAATAATCTTAAGAGTGATTTCTACATGTTTTCGGTACAATCTGATAACAAAATGCCAAAACATGATTGATTTTATGTTAGTTATCTGTTTAAGTTTATACTTTTGGTTATTGTACTACTGCTAAGGGGAAATTAATTTTTTGGCAAACAACAATATTTTTGTTAATGTTTAAAAATTGTTTTTAGATTTAAAAACATATTTTAAACTTTTTCACTACATTTTATGAGAAAGGCATGAAAAAATATATATCTTTACTTTTATATCTGGAAAAATAGAAATTTCAGAGCTTGAATTAGCTAAAGTCTATGTTTTGTAAAAGTACTAGAGAGGAAAAGTATCTCGCCTAAAAGTGCATACTTTCAAGTTCCCAGGACATCTGAGGCTGGTATCAAGAATTCAGAAAGACTGGCTCAATATATTTTTACTCAACTAAATGATCTTCTCATTAAAAATCAGCAAGATAGGATTATACAGTTTTATAGTGCTAATATAAATTACATTCACTTATGCAGTCTAATACTGTACGTAGAATTCACATATCATAGGGAAAGAAGGGAGGCTGCACCTTATTGAGCTGTACTTTTATACTATCCTACAATAATGCAATTGGCTTCTAATAAATAATCATTTATATCAGTATTTTTTAAAAATAATTATGGTGATGATGCAGTAAAAATGGAAATAATATCTGGTTTCACTTTGATAGCTTTGAATTCAGTTAACACAGATAGTGTATCTTATTGACAAGATTGGTTAAATAGATTTGGGTGGGTCAGTTTGAACTTTTTTTAAACAATAAATGATACTGTTATTCTTGACCTTTTCTATTTTGTTGAAGTCTCCAGTTATCCCAAAGATGAGGCATTTGCAGCTAGTCAATTTTTAAAAAATAGACTTCTGGGCCTTGGAAATCCTGAGAGATGAATTGTGCCCACTTAGAAACAAATGTTTCTCAAAGACAATAAAAATAATAGGACTTTGTCTAGCATCTTCTGTTTAGAAAATTAGAGTTAGGAGTTCAGAGAGTGACTGAGAAAATGTAGAACATCTTAAAGAAAATGTTACTTTACATCATAATTGGAGACGTGGTAACTGAAAGTCATTTGTACTTGAATACTATTTTGATTTTCTAAACTTATTACAGTAATGATGAACAAGTTAGAAATAATGAAACACTCCCCTCATACTGGTGCTTATTGATATCATAATGATACAATCCTTATTCCAAAATTAACTATTGAATAAAGAAAGTAGAAGTAAATATTAGGGGGTTTGCTTATATAGCAAAACTAGTAAGTTTGTGATTAAGACTTGCTTTTTAGGAAGATGGCAAGGAATTTGATAAAACTGGCCTAAACATTTGCATATTCTCTTTTTTTCCTGCTTAATCCTTAAAACATAATTTAAAAGCAATATTAATATATTTAGTGTTTACTGAGTATTTTCATGAGCTGAAGATAACACATCTTGTTATTAAAGAGTGAGGTTGCTCTGTAACTGGTTGCTGAACCAAGAAGAGGAACAAAAGGCTATGAGTTAATGGCTAATATCTGCTGGGGCCTAATATTTGCGCTATATGCCATATGCTAGGCTATGTACTATGCACTCGTTCTTTCATTTAATTCTCAAATCAATCCTTTGGTATTATTACTATCCCATTTTACAAAAATGAGAATATTGAGTTTCAGAAAGGCTAAGCCACTCCTCAAAGTCACATGACTAGTAAGCAGCAAAAGAGAGATTTGAACCAAGGATTCTGACTTGAGAGTATGCGTTCCTAATCATCCCAAACTGAATAATCAGTACATGTGATTTTGCTATTTGCTGTAAAGACAGATTTTTTAAAATATATACTACATTTATAAATGGTGTATCTGGTTCAGGTTTTTAAATGTTCACATATATTTTTACCTTAGTATTTTATAGCTCAGTTTGAAAGCTATTGCCTTTGCAATAATATCTACATTGATATTTTCTTTATATTTTGGTATTTATACACCCAATCAGATAGATCATTTAGGTAATGCATACAAAACCAATTTCTAAACAGTGACATACCAGG